ATATATATATATATTTGATACATTCGAGTATTTTATGTGAAGTGTAGTTCAGTGTCAGGAGTGCAGTTTTACAACAAACCTATAAAATATATTTGAAAAAAAGAAATCAAAGTACGATTAATTATATTGCATTTTCTGCATAGATCTACTATATCAACTATAAGTACATTTATCATGTACTGTGAATAGTACGCTCACTAAAGTACACATTTAATAGAAAACAGCAGATTTTGTTGTAGAAATTAAAGAAGGAACTTATATATATATACATATATATATATATACACATTCACTCACATACCCACACACATATGTATGTATATATATACATATATATATAATACGATTTCACAAAAGCTGTACACCAAACATTTATTATACTTGTCTTACTACATTTTAGCTTAAACAAATCTTTTAATAAGCTGACTAAGAAATGTAAGTAATTTATAAAATAAATGAACGAACAATGCAAATATTGTAGTTAAAGCACAGATTTAATACATATATACATATACTTCACAATTTTATGCAAGTTGAAGCTACATTATTATAATGTTGCATTGTTTTAAATCTGTACTTTAAATATAACTGATAAAAAAATTTCTTACAAATGTGGTTCCTTTCGCATTTTGTCGTCAACGCAATTCTGGTCAGTCTTATTAAAAATACTATTAGATACAATTAAAAAGCGCAATAGTCTTGTTAAATTATACTCTATGCAAGTTTCTGTATCAGAAAGAAAAAAAAAGTTGAGCGAAAATAGTTTATCCTAGAAGATAATTGGATTCTTTTTGTATATCACAATTTTATGAGTGTGCACGCAGCAATAACTATTTCTTTTTTTTCATTCAGAGATTTCAGTTTTCACTCTTCTGTGATTGATGGTTAAATTAAATGTTATCTTTGTATTTTCAAAGTCATCTTAGGAAAAACTGCTTATCATTTTAAGTTCAAGTAATTTTTATTGCTTTACTTGTGGGTTGTAAGGAATTTGCTTAGCATATAATGTTATTATTGGTTTATAACTGTTGGGATATTGGAAGTCAAATATCTATAACGTTTAGAGTTTTCATTACAAACGTTTGTGGCTTTTTTATGCTATGTTTTTTCTTAAAAAACGAAATGGAACAAAAATAAACATACAAATTTGTATTGCTCCTTCTAAATGTTCTATGGAAGAATATAAAATATTCAAGAGCAATCTATAGCATTTATACATATATAAATATACACGTATATATACATATGCATATATAAATCGTTTGATAAAATGAATACAACAATCTGTGCAATGCATCAGATTTGTTAACCATTAAATGTAAACTTTTGTATACACATTTTGTGATCTAGTTTTGATACGTCTTTATTTTCCTTTGGATACTCTTCTGTATATACGTAAATATCAACATTTGACGCCAGTTACCATCTGATGCTGGATGTTACTACGTTTCTTTGTTATCATCCAAAATAAATAAATGCATTTGAGAATATATGTTTTTTGTTCGTAAACATTTTATTATATAGTTGATAGCATTTTTATAATATCACTAAATATTATTATATAATCTCCTCGATTATTTTAATTTCATATTACATATTTGTCCATTATAATTTTTATATTAATATCAAGCATCAGATGTAATCGTATCTGCTGGATAAAATGTAATTGAGTGGTTACTTGGAACAAATAATTAAAATAAATACGTTGCAAATAGGTTTACAGTCACATAATAAAAAAGAAAAGAAAATTTTTATTATGCAAAGAGATACAACAATTAAGATTATAAGAAAATATGTAATTGCTGTACAAGTTGTAGAAACTGATTTTCAAAGTATTCAATCTTCAGGCATTTGTGTCTATATAATAATATAACAAAAACATTTCATTATCTTTAATATATTTCAAAATGTATTATAGTTTACTTTTATTTTTGTCCTTTTTTTTTGTGAATAATCTAAAAATAGTTGATGATAACACTAAATAATTTGCTAGATAATTATGTTTGAAGATAATAGGACTTTTATATCATTGTTTTGCATATAATATGGAACAAAGTAATATCATATCTTTTAGCATACCTAGTCTTATCATGAGAACAAGGGATGAAAGAAGGAAAGGCGTTAATGATGTCTTTATGAATATGATATTTCAGAGGAGTTTGTTCATTTGTGAATATTGTGAATTTTAAATGTGAATAAATTTAAATATGATAAATGTGAATTCAATAAATATCCTAGATATTTAGATGATTTCTGGATTAAATTTTCCGGTAAACGAGATGTCCTATAATTAACAATGTGTAAGTAAGTAAATTGATTTAACATCTATGAAAGTCTTTTGCGTTATTTATTTATTATTACACAATAAAGAAAAAGAAAAACTTAATTCTGGACTTCGCTATATTGTTTTGGACTTTGCAATAAATCGTAGTAGGCAGAATCGATTGTCTTTTGTAGAAAACTGTAGTCAATTGACAAAATGATCCATTGAAGCACCATACTTCACATGAACATTAAAAATGTTTATTTATTTGGTAGCTCCAGTGGCTACATTAGCTATTATTTTTGGACTCTTACACATCAGATATTTGTAAGTAGAATCATTGTGAATCACATTTTAAGCAATTTAGTTTCTCAAATAAAATATGATTCTTATTTAGAGGTACATGGTTACGATCATCGATACGTTATCCGCTGACTTTGTATAATGGATTGATATGTAGACCCATAGTACAAACATCATTAAATAATGAAGATTTCGAAAGTAATTTAACACCTGAAAAATCGGTGGCTATAACCAGTGATAAATTCGAATCAGAGTATGAAAATCTCTTGACACAAAAAATAGCCATCAGCAATAATGAAAGATTATCGGATGTCCTTTTGGGAGAAGATGAAATAAAATTAAGAAACTTGAATTTATCACGACAATCATTTGAAAATATAGTATTAGAAGAAAAAGACAAAGGTTTTGGATTGCCTACTATACCGAATTTTAGATTCTTAGTAACTATATAAATAAATATGTAATGAAAGAAAAATTTGATTAATAAAATCATTTATATTTCGTAGCCGCGAAAATCCCTGAATTACGAGTGATGCAACATGATACTAGTGGAACAACTAAGCAAGAAAGAAAAGAAAACACATTTGAATCATTGAAAAATTCTATTGAAAAGAGTAATTATGTATTTTCTCAGTTAAACACCAGACAAATAAATAATTTAATTTGGAAGGAAACTTTAAAAGAAAGTGAGGCAAAACAGAAATTGCTTGATTCCGATAAAAACGAATTCAACGAAATGTCATCGTTTGAAATGTAAAATATTTACATCATAATAAAAAATTATCATTAATTTGGTATGCAGTTACTAAGTTATGAATAAAGGAGTTTGTATAATTTTGTTCACAGAAAGGAACATCTTGCTTCAACGCCAGAAAATAAACCAAAAGCAGAAGATACCTGTAAATGATAAAAATTTAATGATTAAATGTTAAAATGTAATAGATGTAAAAATTAAAATTATGCAATGAATAAACATAAAATTGTACTTTTACAAACAATTGAGATTTTGATTTGAAGAATGAACAAAATTGTCACTTTGAGTTATATGTTACTAATAAAATAACTATTTTGATAATAGGAACATAGAGTAATAATAAAAATTGATCAATTTCAAAAGTGTAAAAGTTATACATATATAAAAATTTCTTTTGATCATATATTACTAATAGATAAGCAATGTTATTAATAGAAATATAAAATGATAACAACATTCAAACAACAAAAATGACAGAAACAAACATATTTATTTTGTATGACAATATATTTGAATGAAAGAACAATCAGCAATCAATAAGATTTATTTATTTAATTACTTGCATTTCTGTATTACAATATAATAATATTTATAATGTTACATTTAATAAAGTGTTTAATTTAAAAAATAATTATGTATTAATATTTTTAAGAACAATCCTTTTTTCTGACTGAATTAAATAGTTTACACTTACACATAGGAGAGCAAGCCTATGCAATAGTGAATAGTGTGTATATTTAAATTCAAATATTACTCATATATCAAATTCAAATATTACTACAATATATTTACACTTATAAGATATTTTATTATTTTATTTTGCATGTAGTCTGGCTTTTGCTTTTTGTTTAGAATACTGAGCATGACTATGAGCCCTTAAACTGTTGAACACTTTATTGTTTAATTTGACATCAAATCCGCCTGTGTCTCCTGTATGAATACCTGGAGGAAATTGTAAAACTCTGCAAGCATTTATTCTTGAAGACATTAACATATCATGCTTTGTAATAATTTGAGATCCTTCACCACCCATTTTTCTATATCCACAACGTGGTTTTGAAGCATATTCTTTCTCTAAGCTCTATTGAATAATAAATGTGTACAGAATATTAGACTTACAAATAAGAAGTTTTATATAGAATTGTACATTACAAAATATTTACCACAAATCTATCAAAGTCCCTGGTTGTGTCTTCAATATCTGTCTCTTTATCATCCTGATTATCACATAGAGAAGTTCGATAGTTTGTATAAGATATATTAACTATAAAATATAAAAATATGACAGAATTTAAAATATAACATATTAAAAAGTACATTTTACCTTTAGAATCACGATTAAATTTTTCTTCTGTACGTTTTAACATTAAATCATACTCTTTGTTAAACTGATCTTGCAACATATGTGCAATAACTTCATCATTATCTGTATCATTTGATTCACATATTGCACAGTCCTCAATATTTACATCATCGACTGCCACAAGTTGACACTTTTTCAATTCTCTGTTAATAAAAAAATATACATTTTTTTACTTTAATTAATAAAAATATAACGTATTACTTATTATTTACTTTTCTTGTAGGCTATTTGCAAGTTGTTCTGAAGTTATTTCCAACAAATTCATAGGTCCTTCTACTGGTTGAATTTTTGCCCATGGAGTTGACATTCTGATGAATAATAAATTAAATTACAAAGAGAAAGATGAATATATTACAATGTATTTTTATCAATAAAGGTTAAGTTACTTAAAATAAAAAAATTATATCACTATAAAATAAAAGATACATTAAATATTATTATTGAAATATATTTGTTTTGTGATTGTTTTATTTATTATAATTATTGTATAAAAACAATTATTGCATAGACTTTCCCAATATTTTGCAATTTATCAGATCGAAGTAAATAATATTGAAAAAGATTTTTAATATTTTAACATAAGATTTAGGATATTTCTTACGAAAGATAATTAAGAAAAGAATATATACCTTAAAATTAAAATAAATAAAAATTTGGAAGACAAAAATTTGATAAAAGAGAAACAAATAAGGGATAAAGAACGTCAGTACACTAAAGTATATCACGTGAAGTTGAGTCAAACTGTAGAAGGATCGATAAGATTATTCGGAATGAATTAAAGCAATAATGCATAATTCTCTAAACTTATATGGACTAGTTATATATACAAACCAAAATTTTAAAAAATTTTTAATTATTTTTTAAATGTTTCATTTATTAATTCAAAAAATTATTTTTTTGGGTATATTCTTTTAATAATGGAATAGATAGCTGAAAGAGTATACAATGATCAATTTTTATATATATCATATTATTTTAATATCATACATTTTATTTTTTACAATTTTTTAAATATAAAAATTATGGAAAGAAGTTTTTATTTCTTTATTGTGTAGTTTCAATTTCTCCTAGATATATTTGTTTATCACTGGATCCAGAGCAAACTAAAAATAAGAAAGATACATTTGAAATTATTGTAATACACTAATGATCTTGATTTTGTAATTTCATATGTGTTACCAATTGGTTCTTTTGGATGGAAATCAATGTCATTGACAGAACCATTATGACCAGGTAATTTGTACAATATTCTACGACTTGTAGTATCCCAAATGTAATGAAATCTATCTGATGATCCAGCTGATACTTTACTACCATCTGGTGACCATGCACATCTTAGAAGATTCTATAATTATTTAAATATATAGAATTATGAAGTTTTAAAATTATACTGTATCATTAAAAGGTAAAAACGAACTTTTTCAAAGTTATGTTGATGTCCAGAAAGAATTTTTACACAGCGTTCATAAGGAGCAAATGGTCTTACATCCCAAATTCTTAATGTGTTATCCATAGCATTAGATAATATGTAAGAACCATCTGGACTAAGACTTAATCCAGTTATAGTATCAGAGTGTCCTTTTAGCTTGTAAAGAACTGAATTTTTTCTTAAATCCCATACTTTTATGTCATTGTCTATTCCTCCACTTATTACTTGTTCTGCTGTGTCATTAAATGTTACAGCAGTAACCTAATAAAAAAAAAAAAGAAAACCAAAAAGATATGACAAAACCTAATAAATACATAAAATTAAACAATATTAAGACAATATAACAATAATTACTTGGTATGTGTTATTTAGAGTATAACATTGACCTCTTTTTCTAGGATCCCAAACACGTATTGTACTGTCATCACTACCTGAACAAAATTGTGTAAGGCCTCTTCTTGCTCCAGAAACAGAGTTTACGAAAGATGTATGGCCTTTGAGTTTTTTTATTCTAGTTCCAGCAACTATATCCCATAAACCTAATGTCATATCTGTACTAGCTGTGTATAAATGATTACCGTCAGGACTAAAGTGTAATTCCATAATCGCTCCACTATGACCAGTTAATACAGAAATATTTTCACATTCTCCATATACATTCCAAATAACTGAAAATATTATATAACATTTAAATTTGCTATACAAAACACTTTCAATAATAAAGTTTTCCATAACATACAAATTTGTCTATCAAAGCCTGTTGAAGCAAGATATTGACCCTCTGGATGAAATTCAAGAGAAAATATATCTCCTTGGTGTCCTTCAAGGAGCATAATGGGTGCAAACAAAGAAGATGTTCTAGGTGGACCCTTTACAATATTAAAATTAATTTTATTTCATACTTTTATTATATTAGAAATTGGTCAACAACTATAAGAATTATAAGGTTAGTTTAACTTACATTTTGTACAACTGCTTTTTCTCTACTACTAAAAACCACCTCATTTTTGGTTCTTTTTGAGGCAGGAACTAATGCTAAAATATCATCTCCTTTACGTTTATCTAAAATTGGCATGATGAATATTTTGAATCATTAATTGTATTCACGACTCTTCATAAACACGCTTATGACAGGTAACAACACAAAGTGCAATCTTTACTAGATGGCAGTTCAATCACTGTACTTTCATTTACAAAACATCACTAACAGTTTATCATTATTACGATTATTGTTACATAATATCAATTTATTGTAAACATTTTATACATTTATGCATAACACGAGTTCAGAAATAAAAATAACATTGAATTTGTAGTTAGAATTTATTAAATATAATATACATATTTGTATATTATTTACTATAAATATTTTGACACATTTTTCTTAACAATTTTCTCTAAATTACAATTAAATTATTGCAATATATGATGGCCATAACATTAATTCATAAATACACATATTTACACGTGGCCACTACTATTGCCAAGGGAAGATGTGGTTTTTTACATAAATAATAAAGTAATAAGATTTTTATTTAAATTCGATCAAACATTTTTTTTTTACTGATGAAATTAATGGTCAGTCTTTTACTTTATATACAATGAAAAACCACATGTATGAAATTTCTAAAATTAGATTTGAAAAAAATTCGGTTTACCGATATTGTATGACACCTTGATTCTTGAATAATGTCTCAATGACATTTTGTACATAAAAGAAATAAAATGTGCCCCTGAAAATTTAAATCTATCAAAAATTGATGATTTACAAATGCGTAAAATAACACAATTTAACGTTGTACTATACACAAATATACAGGATACTTGTCGCCCTTTATACTTGAATAAAATAATGTTTCTTTTTCATATAATTTGTACCACAAACTACCTCATTAAACATTTTAACAGTTACATTTACTACAACAACATAGTTGTTGGATTTTCCATGAAATTCTTAAAGGCATTTAACCATTGTGCACCTACAGCACCGTCCACAGTACGATGATCACAACTGGCAGTAACAGACATAAATTGGGATGTTGTGAATCTAAAAAATAAATTAATATATAGTGAAATGCAAAATATCAAATAATATGAAAGTTGAAAAATACTTACCCTTTTTCATTTTTGGCAGGTATTAACCTGTTTTCAGTAGTACCTATAGCAAGAATGATTGATTGTGGGGGATTTATAATTGCAGAAAAGTTTTTAACACCAAACATTCCCAGATTTGATAAAGTGATAGTTCCTCCTTGAAACTCTTGTGGCTGTAATTTTCCTTCTCTTGCTTTGGTAGCTAATGCTTTCACATCTTTACTAATTTGGATTATACCCTTTGTATCTGCACCAAAAACTATTGGAGTTATTAGGCCACTGTCTGTACTTACTGCTACACTTACATCAACATTATTATATCTACAGAAAAAGACATTTAATTTAATTCATATGATTAGAATTAATACTTCTATTAATAGTAGTAGTTTATTATTATATATTACTTACTGTCTAATAACTTCTCCCAACCATGCACTGTTACCCTCAGGTACTTTTTTACAAGCCATTGCCATTGCTTTAATAATGATATCATTTACGCTAAGTTTTATTTTTTCTTTCTCCAACATCTTATTAAATCGTTCTCGAATTTCGAGAGCTTCGTCCATTTTTATATCTACAGACAAATAATAATGTGGAATCGTTTGTTTACTTTCTAGTAAACGTTTCGCAATTACTGCGCGGATATTAGATAAAGGAACATCTACTCCTGCTGGTGCACCTGCAACTGCTGCTACTGCAGGCTGAGCACCTACAGCTTGTGCACCTGCTAAATCTTTAGATGTTATAGATCCAAATAATCCTGAACCTTTCAAGCCCTTCAAGAAAACAATATAATTATTTCAAATCTTATAATTTTATAAGAATCAGTAAAGTATAACTTCTTATATAACTTAAAAATTACCTCCAAACTAAGACCTTTCTCAGCTGCGAGCCTTTTAGCCAATGGGCTAGCATATATTCTATCTCCTACTGGAGTAGGCAGTGGTTTTGGAACAGAGGGTGCTGCAGGTGCTGGCGGTGTTACAGGAGATGGTGGTGGAGTGGATGGTGTAGGTGCTGTTGGTGCAGGTGCAGCTGGAGTAGGAGCACCAGGAGAATCATCTTTAAAATCTTTGAAGGCAGCTATACTACCTTCATCTGAAACAATTATACAAACTAATTTCCCAATAGGAATATTTTTTGTTCCTGCAGGTACTATAATCTTTGCCAAGTAGCCTTCTTCTGGTGTTTCAAAGCCCATAGTTGCTTTATCAGTTTCAATCTCAGCAAGTAAGTCCCCTTCATTCAACTTGTCACCTAAAAGAAAATTAAAAAATTCAGAATTATCAATAGTTCTATTAGATGTAAAAAAAATTATTTACTTTACCTTCTTTTTTGTGCCAACTGACAATAGTACCCGTTTCCATGGTAGGTGATAATGCAGGAAGTTGTACTTTGACATGGTCTGGATAATCTGCATAAAATCTTAATTGTTGCTTCCATGGAGTTACAGTAAAACGTAATGTGCTGTGAACTTGAATCCTAAATACCAAATAAAAGAGCAATATTTTATACCAAAAAAGAGTTTATAACTGATGGTTAATATAAAATTCATTTTTAAATCTAACTCAATCTATCCTGCTAACTTTGTAAAAACTTTGTAAAACTTTGCATATGTGACTTTGATTATGTTCAACAATAACAGGTGGAAGTAATGCGATACTGAAAAACTCTCATGTAGAATAGAGAAATAGACGGAATATTCATTAAGATAACCTTAACCACAAATAGCACTGTAAGTTTAGTTAGAGAACGATAGGATACTTAGAGTGGTGAATAAACATGATAATAACGAAAAATTAAATACCTTTGCAGATATTTTCTGTGAAGACATCGTATGACCACAGATCTTACGGTATTCGTCCGCACGGAACTTCGTAGTATTGCGCGTGCCAATTCATTACGTAGACCTGTTGTCGTTCGTATCATATCTTGAATGATTCGTGGATCTTTTACTACAGCTTCTTGTAGCAAATCGTAAGAAATTCAACGTTATTCTAAGTTTTTACTTCAACACTCGGATGGTGAACGTGTTCCGAGCGTGTCAATGATGTAGGGGTTATCGTGAAGCACGACTAGGAACGGACGATACGAATACCAAATTAGAGGTCGTTTGCAAGGTCACGTGGCTTTTAGTTTAAAGGTAGTTTTCAAAAGCGGGAAATCATTTATTTTTCGAATTATACGACGTAAAAAAAAAGAAAGTAAAAATAAAACGAGACACAAGACAGCTTCCTTGTTGAAAACGAAATGAAAATTTATGTCAAGGTTTTCTGGCTTATAACCAACCGTGTCATTGATAAAATAGAACGGATACTGTGATTCGCTAAGCAGAGTAGCCTGACGCACGTCTAATTCATAGCTAATGATATTGGCGGCAATTAGAAGAAGCTGCAGAGAAATTATTCTTCGAAATGAAGAAACAAAGTGCTAGCAAGACAGGAGAGATAAATAATTCTGAAATTATAAATCAAAATATTCAACCCAAAGTCGGAAAATTTATGTTTTGCAATGGAGATGTTTATGATGGGGAATATAAAATAAATCGTGATCGATTTTTTTTAGTGAAGCAAGGTAATCGAGTGTAAAATATTTTTTATTTCTGAAATGTTAATGATGTTTTATATAGGTAAAGGAACATATATTACTGATAATTTTGATGTTTATCACGGAGAATGGGATGAAGATACCTTTGCTAATACTGATATACATATAAAGTAATACGGTTTACTTCATGATCCACATTTGAATAAAAACGTGTAAAATTTCTTACTTAAGGTATAATAACGATGCTCAATATCGAGGTAGAATTGATTCAAACGGAATGATGAACGGTCTAGGGACATATATATTTCCCGATGGATCTTCTATTGAAGCTATTTGGTTTAATAATATGCCATCTATAAACATAATTTACAAAGAACCTCTTGGATTTGCATGGATAGTTGACGATGTATCAGCAAATGTAACAAATATTTCGATTTTTAAATCAAACATATAAACGTTTAATAAGAAAGAATTAAAATATTTGAATTTAAAAATTTGCAAATTAAAAATATAAATTAAACAATTTTGTATGTTGTAGTCCATCTCGTTTTCTGCTGGAAACCATTTCTGGACCGATATGACAATGTCTGATCGAAGTACCACACATTCCACCAAGTCTTTCAATCAAAGTGAACTAAATTAACCTGATTAATTCAGGAAATTTACTAGTTCCTTAGTCTTCTTTGTATACCGAAGGAACCTTAAATTCGCTCGTAGCAGGTTTAAATAAAGGATTTTCATTCAAACTGAATACAGTTTTCTTTTGTTCTAGCACAAACTTTTCGTACTCCTTCTTATCTTGTATAGAGGTCCAAAACCTGTGCCCATTTTATAATATTATAATTTCGTAAGAATCGTAATTTACTTAATTATTATTGTATAGCTCTTACTTCCAAATTAGCAGACAGATGAGTCCGAAACATACTATTCCAATGACGATTGCAGATGGAATGACTGCTACATGCATCACAGTTTGACATACCTAAACGCATGAAATAATAAAAAAATGGATAAATTAAAATAAAAGTATTTACAAATATTATTGTATACCTTGTCTCCAATTTTTAAGGTAACGATATTGTTCTTCTGAAACTCGTATATGTAGTGTATCAAACAAGTCGTTTTATCCTTCACTGTTTTCACAAAACAATAGTGTTCATTTCCTGAAATATAAATTTATATTATTTATCAAGGTATTCATATTATTCAATTTATATTCTTTCAATTTACCTGTATCAATGGACTTCACTTTTTCAGTGTTGTAAGTGGTATTATTCGTTTGGCAAAATTCATCTACCTTGTCTGGATCCTCGATGGTAGCGTTGACACAAGGATTGTAAAGAACACAGAGGCCACTACCACCAGCGCCAGTCGATGACTCGCAGTAAGTACCTCGATAATAGAATCCGTCTGCCGTGGTAACATTGCATCTAAACAATATTTAACATGTCTATACAAAACAACTTTTTCTAACGAAAATAACATATACGAACCGACATTCTCCACAGTCGCAATATCCGTGACCAGCGCAAACTTCTTGACTTCCTGGTACAATACAAAGTTCATCCGTTGTTGGACACTGGCAAGCGTTTCCACTCCAGCCTTCTATACATTGACAAACACCACATTGGCAAGTACCCTTATTCCCGCATTCGATTCCATCTACCTATAAAGAAAAGATTCGTTTAATTCTTAAACGTGCTGGTCGTATTACAATATGAAATTTGAACATTCCAGAAATCCTTCTCACCTTGTCGCACGCGGAACATTCACAAAATGCACCTTTGTATCCTTCGTCGCATAAACATTTTCCGCAAACGCATTCTCCTCTGTCGGAGCAAATCTTCGTCGAGCTGCCTTCGATACATTGTTGTACATTATTTACAGGTGAACTTTCATCACAGTCACACATTTCGCCTGTGAATTTCCATATCTTATAATATTAAACAGTTTCAGCAGG